GATTAATGAAGGTTCCTCTAAAACTGAAGGTACTAGTACTGAATCTTCTAAAGTCAAAGCTTCCACTCCTCCTAAACCAGATTCATTCAAAACTGATCTTTCTAAAACCGATGATTCTCCTAAAACTGACAAGATTGATGATTTTTCTAAAACTAAAGACCAAGCTAATAAGGCTGATGATTCTTCCAAGACTGGCACAACTGACGATTCTTCAGAAACTAGTAAAAATAATGATTCTTCTTCCGTGATTAATAATTCTTCAGAAACTGATAATTCTTCCAAAACTATCAAGACTAACGATTCTTCTGAGTATAACAAGGCTAATGATTCTTCTAAAACTGACAAAATGGTTTCTTCCATAATTGATAAGTTCAATGATTTATCCAAAACTGACGATTCTTCCAAAGCTGGCAAGATTGATTATACTTCCAAAGCTAACCAAACTGATGATTCTTCTAATACAAACAAAGCTGATGCTTCATCCTTTAAAGCTCATGAGATTGGTGATTCTTCACAAGCTAATAATTCTTCTGATACAAATAAAGCTGACGGTTCCTTCTCTAAAACTCATGAGACTGATGATTTTTCTAAAACTCCTGAAACTGATAATTCGCCCCAAATTAATGATTCTTCTAATACAAATAAAGCTGACAATTCTTCCTCTAAAACTCATGAGACTGATGATTCATCCCAAGTTAATGGTTCTTCTAATACAAATGAAGCTGACAATTCTTCCTCTAAAACTCATGAGACTGATGATTCATCCCAAGTTAATGGTTCTTCTAATACAAATGAAGCTGACAATTCTTCCTCAAAAACTCATGAGACTGATGGTTCTTCCAAAACTGACAAAAGCGATAACTCTTCTAATACAAATAAAGCTGATAATTCTTCCCCTAAAACTCATGAGGCTGATGATCCTTCCTCTAAAACTCATGAGGCTGATGATTCTTCTTCTAAAACTCATGAGGCTGATGATTCTTCTAATCCAAATAAAGCTGACGGCTCCTCCTCTAAAATTCATGAGGTTGGTGATTTCACCAAAACCGACAAAGCTGTTGATTCTTCCTCTAAAACTCACGATACTGGTGATTCTTTCAAAGTCAACAAAACTGATGATTCTTCTCATATAAATAAAGCTGGTGATTCTGCTTCTAAAATTCATGAGACTAGTGATTCTGCAAAAATTGATAAGACCGATGATTCTTCTGATATAAATAAAGCCGACAATTCTTCATCTAGAACTCATGAAACTGGTGTTTCTTCCAAATCTGCCCAAACTGATGATTCTTCAAATGCAAATAAAGCTGATAAGCCTGATAACACACCTAAAACTAATGATACTGACAGTTTCAAGGCTGACAAAATTGAAGATGATTCTTCCAAGGCCGACACAGCCGATAAAATTGGAGATACTTCAGAAACTAATAAATCCGAAATTGATTCAGAGAGTTTTGTCATTGTATAGTTGATCAAATTTGATTTTATTTTTATTATAGTTGAGGGTATGAAACATGTCTAGAGGAATGAACTTTAGTTGCTTTTTTTTAAATAAAAGCTTTCTCACTCCATATTTTTATTGATTTCAAATTTACAGCATATTGTCAGAATAAAATATCTGCCAAATTTGAATATAACGTTCTTATTAACGTTGATATATTTTAACAATTTAACATAAAATTAAATAAATAACCTATAAATTTGAATGTTTATTATGTATAATATACAAACTAAAATATAATTCTTACTTCGTTAGGTACGTACTAACCAAACCTCCCATCTAAGGATTGGAATCGGTCAAAAATTTTTAGTCGATTAGTCAGTCGACTAAATCTGTTAGTCGTCGACTGACTAAAAA